AAACTTATCCCATCATTCATGCCACTTTTAGAAGCAGTTCAGAGTCCTCACAAGTTGTGATCAAAACTTTGGCGAGTGCTGCTGCTGCTCAGCGCCATCCACTGAAACACAGGATCATACAAACAGGTCGCTGTGTCCCCACCTACCATATTCACTAGGTCTGGCCCCATGCAACTCCAGGCTCTTCCCCAAAGCCAAAATGCTTATGAAAGGTGAATGTTTTGAACCAATTCAGGACGTCAAAGCTGACACAAAGGGGCAAGAATAACGAGATAAATGGGTTTGAAGTTACATGGAGTATTTTGAGGGACATTCATTGCATTGACCTTTTTCTGTAAAAAAAAAAAAAATTAAGAACTTAAATTTTCTCACTGTATTTTCTGATCGTAGCTTCCATATGGCTCTTTGCAACTGGCTTCTTTCACTTGACATAACGTTTTCAAAGTTCCATTTTATGGTATGAGTCGCTATTTCATTTCTTCTTATAACTGATTAATGTGCTACTGTATAGACATACCACAACTCATCTGTTGAAAGATATTTGAGTGCTTCTGGGTTGTAATGAACACTGGTGTACAAGATTTTTCACTTCTTAGGGGTAAATAAGAGTGCAGCTTTTTTCCTATGGTAATTCCATGTTTAACTTTGTAAGGAACTGTCAAACTGGTTTCCACAGGAGCTATACCCTTACATTCTTTTTTGTTGAGCCGGGGATTGAACTCAGGTCCTTGCGCTTGCCAGGGAAGCGCTTATTCTACTGAGCCATCTCCCCAGCCCCTCATTCTTACCAGCACATATAAAGATTCCAATTTCCATAGAGTATTGTCAACACTTACTGTTACTCGTCCTTTTGACTGTAGCCTTCTCAGGAGGTGTAAAGTAGAATCTCTGTGTATTTGATGTGCCTTTCTTTAATGAATAATGTTGAGTATTTTTGCTTGGGCTTATTGACCGCTTATATATCTTTGGAGAAATGCTTGTCCAAACCTTTTGTCTATTTAAATTGGCTTCTTTTCCTCATTTCCTTTTTTATTTCTTGTGGTGGATCTGGGGATCAAACACACAGTCTTGGTCATGTGAGGAAGTGCTCTGCTGCTGAGCTATATCTCCAGCTGGCTTTCTTCTTTTTTTCTATTTACTTAGAGTTCTTTATGCATTCTATACACAAGTCCCTTATATATACGATCAGCAAATATTTTCCTTTTAGTGGGTTGTCTTTTTACTCTCTGGATAGTATTCTTGAAGTACAAAACTTTTAAGTTTTGATGAACTTCAGTTGCTTGTGTCTTTGGTATCATTTCTAA